ATACTTAACTCTAAGACAAGTGGTCTGTGAATGTTTCGTCAAGACATTCCAATTTACACAGTTGGACTAGCACAACTCGTGAAGAAATACAAATACTTAACTCTAAGACAAGTGGTCTGTGAATGTTTCGTCAAGACATTTTCATTTACACAGTTTGACTAGCACAACTCGTGAAGAAATACAAATACTTAACTCTAAGACAAGTGGTCTGTGAATGTTTCGTCCAAACATTTTCATTTACACAGTTTGACTAGCACAACTCGTGAAGAAATACAAATACTTAACTCTAAGACAAGTGGTCTGTGAATGTTTCGGGAATGTCTTGAGCTAGTCAAACTGTGTAAATTGTACATATATTTTATCATACTATTTACAAACAAATTGATCTTAATTAATTTGAAATAAATCTTTTTTTTTTACCTTGTGTTACTATAAGACCTGGGACTTTGTTTCGGTTCCTATACAACTGTAAAGGTTAGATAAATTTGGAGTTTAAATATATTTTTATCATTAAAAGTGTATTGCATAATTTATTAGTTTGGCCATTTTCTATAAAATGAGTATTTTTACACGAGTTGCAACTCTAAGACAAGTGGTCTGTGAATGTTTCGTCAAGACATTTTCATTTACACAGTACATTTACAGTACATTCCAATACATTTGATAACTGTATACAGTCCATCAGTTTACATTGTAATTCATACAGTGTGACTGTTAGATATACATGACTATTCATTTTAGGTTTAATACGAAAGTATTGTTTAGTTTATATAGTGCAAGCCTTATTGTTGTTTTAATTAAGTATTGTTGCATGATTAACTAGTAGTGTATGGAATGTTCGAGACTGCTGTAGCGTGTGTGTATATATATATTGCACCGAAAAATTAGTTTGATATAAAAAGTTAAGTAAGACAAACTTAGTTAAAGACAGATAGATCTAAACTGTGTGCTTGTGAATTTAGCTGTAAAGACTATATAGTGGCGTTTTTTAAGTGAAATTATCGCAGGTTGTATTGTAACAACAGAGCAGATAAAAATAGTTTTTTGTCAGTTGTGTTCTAAAGTAATTGAACAAACCTGTGTGAACGTGTGACAATTATTTAAAGCTCTGTATACAACTGTGATAACCAAAGGTGTAACGAACATTTGTATATATGTTTGACTTATTTTAATATATTATTTTAAAACAAGTGAACTAAAAATAATCCTACCCACACATACGTAAAAACCTGAATATTGTAACCCATCAAAATCTTTAGTAACTAAAAAGACTGTCAATGTTACTACAGTACATTCCAGTTTACAAAGTGTGATTATCGCAACACGTGTAAAAAAAGAGCTATCATTTAACTTTGTGATTAGAGAGACTGTTTCCTCATTACTTTTTGGTTCCCATATACATTGCAGCCAAGAAAACTAATGTAAGAATGTTAATTTCTTGACTACGTGACTGGGATGACTGTAGGTCACTAATCTCTAACTCTGTGACAGGGGGAAGGGGCTGTAGATAATTCCAAAATACATTCAAGTTCCCGCAGGTGACTAACAAAGCTCGTGTTAAAACTACTAAACTCTTGATTCTGTGACTAGGGATACTGTAAAAATTGACACAATACATTAAGGTTCACACAGCGTGACTAACGTAACTTGTATAAGAAACACTGCACTTAACTCTATGGCTAGGGAGACTGTACATGTCATCACAATTTATCTCAATTCACACTATGCGAGTATCACAAACTGTTTAAAACGTTTCGACAACACTAAACAAAGTAACTGTGGAGATTGTAAAATTTCTGTACTGTATGTTAGTTTACAAAGTGTGAGTAATGTAACTTGTTTGAAAAAATTCAATATGTAACTGTGAAAGCTTTAATGCTCACGTATTGCATTCCATTGCTGTTTGAACAGTTTGACTAGATTCGATAAAACTGAGCAATCTTACTAGGGAAACTATAAAAGTCTCTGTACTGTCGTATTCCAGTTCACAGTTCGTATTCCAGATTAGAGTAACCCATTTAAAAGAATTCAACAGCTCTGATTATTAAAATTAGAAACATGAAAGTTCAAATTTCATTTAACTAAGTGGGTTTCTGTGTGTGATTCTTGGTGATAATTATAATTTATAATGCATGTAAACAAACTGTAGTTTCACGCTCTTTTAACAATCAGCCTACAACTGCCATATAACTTGTGCGAGTGTTTACGACTTAATAACTATTTATAGTCCTTGAAAAAACACATGTCAATATTGAGAGAAAAAAGAATGTTAAATTATTTTCAACTATTTCCCCCGAAAACTGTAGATAGTACATCTTCCAGATTTCACCTTATTTTCAGTAAAGTTACTGAAATATTGCTTCGTCTCCTTACTCTGAAATGTTAGACTAAATATTGTAAGTGATATTTTACTATTACTTACTTGTTTATTTAAATGTATCAAGTTACACTCGTAGCACAGAGAGGGGTAGCTAGGGGTAAGAAATGAGCTTTCGGTCAAGATCTAACTCTTATAATTATTTATTTTACTTATAAGTTATTCAAGATGTTCACTTAGCATTCATACAGAAGCCTTTACAAATAACAGTTTCGTTTAAAACAACAGCGATTGACAGAATTAATAACATTATCAGATCACTAGATTAATCAACCACAGATTCATTTTTCTAGTCTAACAATATACTGAATTCAAATTCGATGACGAGGAACCCACTTTGAGACTAATAATGGCTGGAGACGGCTTGAATGGGTAATGAAGAAACTTTAATATTATACGAACATGTTCTCACGCTTGTTGTAGCACATTTTTCAGTGAAATGAAAGGTTGATTATTAAGTTCGAGCTAACAATAGAATAATTTAAAACAGCCTTCAAAACATTTTAAGACATCGACATTAGTGAATGTTTAATAAATACTACATAAGTTGACAGTGATAGTTTAAATAATGGAAAAAAAACAAAAAAGCCGTATGCTATTTTAGACAACAGAATTGTCTACTAATCACATAATTGGTGAATTAAAGCTGTTGAAATGTATTTCCAAATATACTGTTCTTAACAAAAATGGCGAAATACTAATAAAGAACTGTTCTTAACAGTTCCATACTTCTAGTTCACAATGCGAAAAAGCACGTAAATAGTACTATATTTACAATAGCTGGCTTGGGGCTCACGATAGAACGTTTTGTCCTAGGTAATGGTCTTTAAAACATGTTTCTGGAAGGTAATATTTGTATTGTTATACTGAGCAGAAGTAGGCTACTTTTAATGTAACTGTAATCGCAATGTTATGCAAAGTAAAATATACCGTGCTTTAGGGAATGAAAAAAATCACTCAGTATGGTAACCTGGCTTATGAATATTGTTTCATGATATCAAAGAAACATTTTACGATGGAGCTTGACCTTTTGGTCTCTACAAAACGTAACTTGGATCACATAAACTGCGTTTTAAATACAGTGTCTCTCTTTTAATCGCTTACACATTATTGATGGACAGAACTGAAAAATTGATGCTTTTGCTGATATACTTGTCTCTTGTCTTTGTTATTTATTTTACAAGTTGAACTGGTAAGCAAAAAGAAGTGAACATCTTGAAATTAACACTAAAATAAACATTTTTAGTTGTATTTTTAAATCTATATAGGTCAAATTTAAGTAGACTTATAGGATACAGCTATATATATCATGATTGGGCTAATGAGTTGAATTTAGTTTTGATAACTAATTCACGTTCCTTTATTTTCTAAGCATATATCGTTTTATCAAATACTTTAAACAAAATTTAATAAAACTCTAATCACAATATTTCTTAGCTGAGGGATTTACAAACCTCGTCTCCTTCGAGTAAAACTAGACCCACGAGTACAACACTGACATTATGACCAATGGAGGAGTCCTGGTACAGCATCGCCACCTGGAAGCCAATGTGGAATGATATACATTTAATACGATTGTCCACCTATATATATATATATAGCTTTTGCAGACATAGTAACAGAGATATATGCAATTTCTAGCTATAAGGTGAATCTAAATCATGTGTATAGTAACAAAGTCCTTCCAAACACGCAACCATCAGATAATTTTCAAAAATTAAATTCTGATGCTGATTTTCTAAAACTCAAATTGATCCTATAATAATCAAAAATGTAGTTATAAACTTTATCGCTGACTATCATTCATGCATAGAAGTGCGTTGAATAAATAATAAATATAAAAAAAGAGAAAGCTTGGCTGTCGATTGCTGGGAATTTTTTAACTCTTAAAGTTTCGTTACGCCATCGTTCAAAACTTAGCTTATTTAGTTAATGATGCTAATAAACTAAATAAATTGTATTATAGTTTATTTTAAACGAACGAACAAGTTTTCAAACGACACTGCTAAACTAACAACTTGTGTGGGCTTATAGCGACACTGTTAAACTATCAACTGGTGTGGGCTTATTTGTTATGTGTCATCCAGTTGTTTGTTTTTTAAATTTTGCTTCTCCCACAAGAGTATCAAATGAAAAATATAATCAGATATATCTTACACAAACATATTTAGTAACCTTCATTACAGGTTTGAAGTCAGATATGTGCACGAATATTGTGTTATCAATTCATTTTCTTTGTATAGCCCACTACTATTGTCGAACACGGATTTGCGTCTAAAGATGCAAAATAGTAAAACTTTATGTAAACAGTATATCAGATATCCCTTGGCTATTCATTAGTTTAGTCGATCATATTAGCTCATGATAATATGTCAAAAGCTTACCTTGATTTCAGAAGTGATGAAATTATGACATGTGTGCAAAACTTATGACTGGAAGTCCTAAAGTACTTAAATACAGAGACTCTCAACTGTGACGTTTTATTTATTATCGTGAACTAAAATAAATAGTTTAAAATTGATATTCTGCAAAAGTGAAGACTAGTAGATATAAATATCATTTTGTCTGCTTCGTTGAATGTGGTAATTGAACGTTTGGAGAAGAATATTATGAATATATGTAATTAAAAGAACAATGTGTGTCAGTCACTCCATGCTTGTATGAGTGTTTGCTCACATGGAAATCCAACATTCCTAGTGATTAATTGTACAGTGGTACTTTTACGTTTATATAATGTGATCGAAGTTAGCAAGCAATGTTCTATACGAGTACAAAACTGCAACGTTTATAACATTAACTTTAAAGACAATTACTTTGGTAACATAAACAAACACACAAGGAAACACATTAATTTAATTCTTTACCTTTCCGTGCCTTATAAATAATGCAATACCATTATATCTCATTACAAATTCCAACAGGCGTCTAAAAATCGACAATTAGGGCTAAAGCTTAAATAAATTTTGTACGCTAAGTTTAACCGCTATATAATCTATATTAGTCTTAATAGTCACTGCCAAAACTTCATTCAGCTAACATATTGCGCGAAAGAAAATAATTGCAGGTTTCAGATGATATGATATACAAATGCGATTTAGATAAATATACATAATTTTTTTAAAAAATCACAATGACTTTGATTTTTACACATCTTGGTACCATAATTTTAGGAGCTCACTATTTTATAACTATTAAACGTTTCCAACTATCTCAATACAGGAACTTAAAAAATCGACAATTAGGCCTAAAGTTTAAATACGCTTTGTTTGCGAAGAACTAGTCTACCCGCTTTGTTAATACTTTAGAGTTGATATCATTATGGAACGAAAAAGAAAAAATAAGTGAAATAGCGACAAACAAAAACAACTGATTTTTACACTCCTTCTGGCCAGGTGGATAAGGCGCTCGACTCACAATCTGAGGGTCGCGGGTTCG